AACTCATTTAAATTAAACAAACATTTTTATTCGGGTGGCAACGCTAGTAAAACACCTCAATAATATTCCAAATGTTCAATTTGAAGGTTTCTTAACAATCTGTGGTCTGACACCCATATTTGAATTTTTCAGATAGCTTGCGAATAATTAAGAAGAAACTCTCAGTAAAAACAATACCAAAAATCAACTAAATTTTTATGGGCTGCAAAACTTCATTTTCAAAATTTTTATAAAAAAGTCTGAATAGGAAGTTGCGAATTTGTATGCAAAATTATTGCATTTTCCCGAGTTTTGCACAAAGTTTAGAAATTTTTATTTTTATGTTTTCTGATGTATTTAGTATAAACTGTATTTTTATAAGGAACAAAAAAGGTACATGCATTGTGGAAAATTCTCTGTACTTTAGTTGTGATAAATTGATTTGTTTTACTGGTGTACGTTGTAATGATCTCATGTTTTTATGTTTTTTTTTTGTCAAAATAAAATTTTAATACATCCTTTCGTACGTAATTTTTGTCGAAACGAAATGGAAGGGAGCGAGAGGCCTCTCCCCCCCTTAAGTGTCCCGGTTTGGCAACAGAGATATCTGGCAGCCCTACAAAATATTAAGATTTACGTGAGCTGGACCGATTTGAAAATACATTTGGAGGTATTTTGTATATTGAGTTTTTTTGTTAATAAAAATTTTTTTTTAGATATTTTTTTTTTTTAATATACCTCAGATTACTAAACAGTTTAAGCTTAAAAGGTTTGCATACAAAAATTTAGAAAGATTTTTCTACGGAATCATAATGAGATTTTTTATGCTATTTTTGACCTTTTTTCAAAGACTGGTTTAAGAAAAACTTGAATAACTCAGCCAAAACCTTACCAATTTAGACTTATGAGGTGTCGTTGGTAAGGTATTTTCTCTCCCTTTTAATTTCTTTGCGAATAAGCTCATTCAAAGTATGAAAGAGGAAGGTAAGATAAACACGTGTCATTCCATGTTGAATTAAGATGTGTTGGTATTTGATAAAAAAAAAAATTGGGTCGTGAATGAGTCTTTTTTTGAAAAGAAATAAAAAGGGTGCGAAAATACCTCTACACTGATACCTCATAAGTCTATATCGGTAAAGCAGTTATTCTAGTTTTTCTTACACAAATCTTTGAGAAAAGTTAAAAAACAGCATCAAAAATCTCATTATTATGATTCCGTAAAAATTTTTTTTTTAAATATTTTTATGCAAACTTTTTAAGCTTAAACTTTTTAGTCATCTGGGGGGATTTTTTCCAGAGAATCCTTTAAGAAACTATTTTTATTCATAAAAAACTAAATTTTTAGAGATATTTTCGAACCGGTCCAGCTCACGAAAATCTTAATATTGTTTCGCAATATTTTGATAGAAGTCTTAAAATATGCTAGGTTTGGTAATCCCGCCGGAAAAACCGCAACTTTTTTTGTGGCGATGCAGTCTAATGTACAGTAGTCGAAAAAATTATAGCTGCTCCAAATTTTCACAAGTTTTAAAATATTATTTTTCTTGTTATTTAATTTTGGTTAGTTTTTTATAGTTCATCCGTCTAAACACAAGTTTAAAGGAAGTGTCACACGATTGGGTATTTGCCAAAATTTGGTGCAAATCGTATCCTGTGAATACCCAAATGTTTTTCTTTATGCCAATCCTTTGACTACAAAAAAAATTTACCATTTGTTTATTTTGTACTAATAGCTCAATTTAAAAATGTACTAATCTGTACAAATGTACCAATCGAGTGACACTGAATTAAAAATTTATGCAATTTAAAAAAAATTCAACAAATTTTCGTTAAAATTTCGAATGTTTTAATAAGATTCTGAGTACGCAGTTGTAGTAGAATAAAGTACAAGTTTCAAATGGCTAAAAACTGCGATTAATTTTTTGGAATTTTTAAAAAACCTCGAAATTTGTACGAAAGTTTGTTGATTCTTTTTTAATACTGCACAAATTTGGAAACTTGGATTTACACGGGTTTTGTTAAAGAATGAACTATATTTTTATAAAAAAAAAATAACTAAAATTAAATAACAACGAAAATAATACGTTAAAACTTGGCAAAAAGTGGTTCGGCTATAATTTTTTGACCACAGTATGTAGTTTTGAATATCTTTAATTGGACATGCACATTGTACATAAAGGAAGTACACAACAAAATTAAAAAATGTTTGCCTGTTTTCAAAGCTGATTTTGCCTTTTTTTAAGTTTTTAGTTTAGGGGGGGGGGGGTCAGAACACCTACAACCCCCCCTAAATACGGCCTTGATCGGTTGAGTAGTTAAAGCGTGAAAGCGTAACAAATAAACAAACTCACTTTTGGATTTATAATATTAGTAAGGAAAAATAATAATTAACATTAAACAAACAAAATAAAAATAGCCAAAACTTACATATCGTCGTTTAAAGTACAAAACCGCGTATCGTCATTCTACAAAACCGCGTGACTGACATTTGCTGCCAATAATTGGATTTGCTCACACAAGCTCTTGGCTCAATCCTTATCCATTCGTTCTGAAATATACTAGCCAGAAATGCGATTGCTTTATAAAAAAGAGAACCATTTTGAAATATGAGTGTTTTTACGCTCTAGAAAATAATTTCTACAACTTCACATACGCGGTTTTGCATTTTGCTGATACGCGTTTTTGCATTTTGTTGATACGCGGTTTTGTACTTTAAACGACGATATAAAACCATACCCCTAGTTTGCTAAAGGAAGAAAACTTGGGTATGTTTAACTCTCGTATCTATACTTTCTTTCGCAGTATAATACTTCTTTTTTTGGATTCCAAAAATGGATACTGCGGTTTTTTCCAAAATACTGCATTTATGTTTTTTTGCCGCCTAAATTTTTTAATACACAGTGTTCTCGGAAACACGTTTTAAAAATGCATATACAATGTATAAATATGTACTATTATGTAGAAAAATTGGGACACGACATCTTGACCATTTTTGATCATTTTCCTTTTGGTTGTTCAATGTTTAATAATTTTTTATTAAAATCTAAAATACTTAACACCATCTAATCCACATCACAAACTTTGTAGAGAAATTAAAAAAAATCATAACAACAAACTTTGTATTCATAATTTTTAGAAAAATTCCAAGTACAGTATATTTTGCTTTGCTGCCTTTATGCTTAAGTGCACATTTAAGATACCTACCCTAAAATGCGTACTAGCGGCATTATTTTTAACATTTATAAGGAAACTCCTCCGATAGATGCATTCAACATACCTGCACATTGGCGATACCTGCCTTAAAAATTGTGCAACTATTATTAACTATCAAAGAAAGTATTAGGTTTACCTGCACTGGCCCTACAATTACCTAATTTTACAAGCTTTTATTTATTTTTCTCATCTCGCAGAACAACGAAAATGGCTATCAATTAATGTAGTTATATAGATAATTAGATACCATTCGGTAAAAATTTCGCTTGCAGTAATTTCTACGTGGTAAGTGCTCCTCCATTAATTGGTTTCATAGGGATTCGGATACCTTCCTCATTGAAGTAGTAAAGAAAATTCGCTTAAGTAAGTGCTTTTTTCGGTTAAGTGCACAAGTTTTTCGTGCAAAGAAGGATGGACAGCTAAGCAAAATATACTGTATGCAGTTTTGTAGCTTATTAAGGTGCAAGCTTCAATAGGCTAAAAATTCGCGTTGATTTTTGGTTATTTTTTTTGCCGACAGTGTACTATTTTCTTCCATACAAAAGTCCAATATAGTAACTTTATATGGACGAAAATTAGTGACACCGCACAGTGGGGCAAAAAACGTTGCTGTGGACTAATCAATTTTGAGCGCCCAACTATGAACCGATTTCAATTGTTTTTTTAAATAAAATACAATTAAATTTCGCGTGGATCTATCCGTGGTGATTTTTTAAAAGAGCTCTGTTTTTTTATTTATTTATGTTGAAAAATTAAAGAAAAAACAATTTTTCGTGTAAGTGCTTCCACTCTTTTGGAAAATACTTGAAATTAATTTCAAATGGAAATCATTTAAAAAATTATTCCTAAACATTTTTTCATAGGATACGTTTAATTAAAAAATGTATTTCATTTGTTATCTTTACTAATATATATTTTGAAAGCCGGTTTTTTTCTGTACGAAAAACTTGAGAAAAGCTGTACCGATATTTTTGAAATTTTGGGCATCGACTCCAGACTATCCAAGGATGATAATAGATGAATATATTAGTAAAGATAACAAATTAAGTACATTTTTTAATTAAATGTGTCCTATGGCATAATTTACGAATAATTTTTTAAATAATTACAGACATTTGAAATTAATTTCAAGTGTTTTCCCAAAAATGGGAGCATTGAAATCGGTTCATATTTAGGCTCTCAAAATTGATTTGTCCACTGCACCCCTTTTTGCCCCACTGTGCGCCGTCAGCAAAAAAAAATTAAATTCAAAAATCAACGATATTTTGTAGACACATCAAACCAGAATATTGTTGTGCAACTTTTTTGAATTTTTCTAATTTTTGGGCAGAGTGAGAAATTTGGATTTATATAGCTTTTGTTAGACACATAATTTTTTATTATTGTCATTTTTATTATTATAAATAAATTTTCAATAAATATTTAAAAGCATGAGCGGCTATGGTTATCGGCTTTCTTACATATATGTACATATACAGATTAAATTACATTTTAAGGACAATTCAATGCTTATAAAATAATCAAATTGATTGAACTATTAAATACAATTTCTTAAGTTCAAACTAGGGCTGTGCGGTTTATTGATTACTCAAAATTTTAATTAATCATAAAGTAAATAACTCAGTTATTCGATTAATTAGAAATTATGATTACTCAAAAGTTCAGTTACTCGAGTAATCAAGATTTTTGATTAACCAAAAAAAAAATATTTGAGTAATTTGCTTTATGATTAATCATCATTTCGAGTAAAATTAGTAATCAACATTTCAACTCTTTACCTATGTATAAAGTAGTGTTCTTTGATACTTTGGAAACGACGTTTCTGTTTTCAAAAATTAAAACGAAACATTTTTTTCATATACAAAATGTAAAAAAGAAAATAAAAATTTTCCAAAGCAAACTCTTTTAACGAGCAAAATTATTATTTTTTGAGTAATCATATTTCAAGTAACTCGATTAATCATCATTTTGAGTAATCCAAATCTTGATTGCTCGAGTAATTGATTAACCGAATAATTGATTAACCAACTTGCCCGAGTAATCGAATAATCGCACAGCCCTAGTTCAAACTGCTAATAAAATTATGATGAATATTTACATGATGGTCACGAGGGTTGCTAAGTATAAACCAAGGGGATGAGTTATTAAATCGTAGGTTTCAGTTAGGTTTGGACACTGTGAAACGATATGGGGAATGGTTAGAGGGGCGCTGTTGCAGAATTGACATATGGGCTGCGTTTCTTGTTTTAAAATGTAAAGATGAGTGGCAGTTCTGTGGCCTAGACGAATTCTTGTATATATTCTGTTTTGTTTCGTTGTGGTTGTTGTTGGAAGCCTTAGAGGAGTTCCACTGGGGTTTATCTGTTTGTAATTGTGGTTGTAGTTGGCCCAGTCGACAGAAATTAAATGATTGAGTCTATTGTGAGCGTTTCTGGTAATCATTGCTTTTGAAGATGTAGCGAAGCTAAAGAGTGGAAACAGGTGTAGAGATTTTGCGGCTCTGTCTGCGTTTTCGTTACCTCTGATATTAGCATGGCAAGGAACCAACATGAATTTTGTCGCCAAGGATTTAGCTATGAGGTCATATTTTATGTCTAATATAGTTTCGTGCCCATTGGCCATGTTTTGGACTTCAAACACTGATTTACTATCAGTGCAGATAATGTATTTTTCGTTGAAGTTGTGACAGAATTTCAAAGTGAATAAAATCGCTTCTGCTTCTGCGTGAAAAATTGATTCTAGCCAAATCAGCAAACCGTGGGATACTATGTTGTTTTCATCATCAACTTCGGCGAGCGAGACGTAATCCTTGGATTTATATGCGTCCATGTATAGAAACTTCCAATTTTCGTTCCTGAAAGACTGTGCCACTGCAAGGAAGTGTTGCACATATGCTTCTGAAGTCGTTTCTTTTTTCTTTCGCTTAGTCAGATCTTTTACAAATTTTCCATTTTTTGTCCACATTATAGATAGGTTCTTACAAATTAAATGGCCTATGTTCCTGGCTGAAAAGCTACTTCAGAAGGAGATATTAGTCTTTACGTTTTTATTAGCCACAATAGTTTTTTCGAGATTATTTTCTCTATTGTGGCAACGTTCGTACTGTGCGGTCGCTTAAACATTCGTTTGAAAGAATTTCTAAAGTTATTTTGTTTATGTAAGTGCTAAGGCACTCCGCACATTACGCGCCTAATCATAGTAGAGTAATCGTTTTGTCATGTCAAAACGAATGCATTACGACTCGACTTCTGCACACTTGGGCGCCCTGCGTAAGCCCTGCTGGCGCACACATTACACATTTTCTGGCCGGTCTTTCTCACTAATACACTTCCGCGAACATTTCTGCAATAAAATATTGCATAAACGTTTATGGCTTAATACAGTTGGCACGAGTTTTAGCACAAAATCATTAATTTTCAATTATTTCCTACTGAAATGGCATTTTTCAATAGAACATCGCTGTATTGTGCCAATCCTTTGACTATAAAAAAAATTTACCATTTGTTTATTTTGTACTAATAGCTCAATTTAAAAATGTACTAATCTGTACAAATGTACCAATCGAGTGACACTGAATTAAAAATTTATGCAATTTAAAAAAAATTCAACAAATTTTCGTTAAAATTTCGAATGTTTTAATAAGATTCTGAGTACGCAGTTGTAGTAGAATAAAGTACAAGTTTCAAATGGCTAAAAACTGCGATTAATTTTTTGGAATTTTTAAAAAACCTCGAAATTTGTACGAAAGTTTGTTGATTCTTTTTTAATACTGCACAAATTTGGAAACTTGGATTTACACGGGTTTTGTTAAAGAATGAACTATATTTTTATAAAAAAAAAATAACTAAAATTAAATAACAACGAAAATAATACGTTAAAACTTGGCAAAAAGTGGTTCGGCTATAATTTTTTGACCACAGTATGTAGTTTTGAATATCTTTAATTGGACATGCACATTGTACATAAAGGAAGTACACAACAAAATTAAAAAATGTTTGCCTGTTTTCAAAGCTGATTTTGCCTTTTTTTAAGTTTTTAGTTTAGGGGGGGGGGGGTCAGAACACCTACAACCCCCCCTAAATACGGCCTTGATCGGTTGAGTAGTTAAAGCGTGAAAGCGTAACAAATAAACAAACTCACTTTTGGATTTATAATATTAGTAAGGAAAAATAATAATTAACATTAAACAAACAAAATAAAAATAGCCAAAACTTACATATCGTCGTTTAAAGTACAAAACCGCGTATCGTCATTCTACAAAACCGCGTGACTGACATTTGCTGCCAATAATTGGATTTGCTCACACAAGCTCTTGGCTCAATCCTTATCCATTCGTTCTGAAATATACTAGCCAGAAATGCGATTGCTTTATAAAAAAGAGAACCATTTTGAAATATGAGTGTTTTTACGCTCTAGAAAATAATTTCTACAACTTCACATACGCGGTTTTGCATTTTGCTGATACGCGTTTTTGCATTTTGTTGATACGCGGTTTTGTACTTTAAACGACGATATAAAACCATACCCCTAGTTTGCTAAAGGAAGAAAACTTGGGTATGTTTAACTCTCGTATCTATACTTTCTTTCGCAGTATAATACTTCTTTTTTTGGATTCCAAAAATGGATACTGCGGTTTTTTCCAAAATACTGCATTTATGTTTTTTTGCCGCCTAAATTTTTTAATACACAGTGTTCTCGGAAACACGTTTTAAAAATGCATATACAATGTATAAATATGTACTATTATGTAGAAAAATTGGGACACGACATCTTGACCATTTTTGATCATTTTCCTTTTGGTTGTTCAATGTTTAATAATTTTTTATTAAAATCTAGTTAACTGTATAATACTTAACACCATCTAATCCACATCACAAACTTTGTAGAGAAATTAAAAAAAATCATAACAACAAACTTTGTATTCATAATTTTTAGAAAAATTCCAAGTACAGTATATTTTGCTTTGCTGCCTTTATGCTTAAGTGCACATTTAAGATACCTACCCTAAAATGCGTACTAGCGGCATTATTTTTAACATTTATAAGGAAACTCCTCCGATAGATGCATTCAACATACCTGCACATTGGCGATACCTGCCTTAAAAATTGTGCAACTATTATTAACTATCAAAGAAAGTATTAGGTTTACCTGCACTGGCCCTACAATTACCTAATTTTACAAGCTTTTATTTATTTTTCTCATCTCGCAGAACAACGAAAATGGCTATCAATTAATGTAGTTATATAGATAATTAGATACCATTCGGTAAAAATTTCGCTTGCAGTAATTTCTACGTGGTAAGTGCTCCTCCATTAATTGGTTTCATAGGGATTCGGATACCTTCCTCATTGAAGTAGTAAAGAAAATTCGCTTAAGTAAGTGCTTTTTTCGGTTAAGTGCACAAGTTTTTCGTGCAAAGAAGGATGGACAGCTAAGCAAAATATACTGTATGCAGTTTTGTAGCTTATTAAGGTGCAAGCTTCAATAGGCTAAAAATTCGCGTTGATTTTTGGTTATTTTTTTTGCCGACAGTGTACTATTTTCTTCCATACAAAAGTCCAATATAGTAACTTTATATGGACGAAAATTAGTGACACCGCACAGTGGGGCAAAAAACGTTGCTGTGGACTAATCAATTTTGAGCGCCCAACTATGAACCGATTTCAATTGTTTTTTTAAATAAAATACAATTAAATTTCGCGTGGATCTATCCGTGGTGATTTTTTAAAAGAGCTCTGTTTTTTTATTTATTTATGTTGAAAAATTAAAGAAAAAACAATTTTTCGTGTAAGTGCTTCCACTCTTTTGGAAAATACTTGAAATTAATTTCAAATGGAAATCATTTAAAAAATTATTCCTAAACATTTCTTCATAGGATACGTTTAATTAAAAAATGTATTTCATTTGTTATCTTTACTAATATATATTTTGAAAGCCGGTTTTTTTCTGTACGAAAAACTTGAGAAAAGCTGTACCGATATTTTTGAAATTTTGGGCATCGACTCCAGACTATCCAAGGATGATAATAGATGAATATATTAGTAAAGATAACAAATTAAGTACATTTTTTAATTAAATGTGTCCTATGGCATAATTTACGAATAATTTTTTAAATAATTACAGACATTTGAAATTAATTTCAAGTGTTTTCCCAAAAATGGAAGCATTGAAATCGGTTCATATTTAGGCTCTCAAAATTGATTTGTCCACTGCAACCTTTTTTGCCCCACTGTGCGCCGTCAGCAAAAAAAAATTAAATTCAAAAATCAACGATATTTTGTAGACACATCAAACCAGAATATTGTTGTGCAACTTTTTTGAATTTTTCTAATTTTTGGGCAGAGTGAGAAATTTGGATTTATATAGCTTTTGTTAGACACATAATTTTTTATTATTGTCATTTTTATTATTATAAATAAATTTTCAATAAATATTTAAAAGCATGAGCGGCTATGGTTATCGGCTTTCTTACATATATGTACATATACAGATTAAATTACATTTTAAGGACAATTCAATGCTTATAAAATAATCAAATTGATTGAACTATTAAATACAATTTCTTAAGTTCAAACTAGGGCTGTGCGGTTTATTGATTACTCAAAATTTTAATTAATCATAAAGTAAATAACTCAGTTATTCGATTAATTAGAAATTATGATTACTCAAAAGTTCAGTTACTCGAGTAATCAAGATTTTTGATTAACCAAAAAAAAAATATTTGAGTAATTTGCTTTATGATTAATCATCATTTCGAGTAAAATTAGTAATCAACATTTCAACTCTTTACCTATGTATAAAGTAGTGTTCTTTGATACTTTGGAAACGACGTTTCTGTTTTCAAAAATTAAAACGAAAAATTTTTTTCATATACAAAATGTAAAAAAGAAAATAAAAATTTTCCAAAGCAAACTCTTTTAACGAGCAAAATTATTTTTTTTTGAGTAATCATATTTCAAGTAACTCGATTAATCATCATTTTGAGTAATCCAAATCTTGATTGCTCGAGTAATTGATTAACCGAATAATTGATTAACCAACTTGCCCGAGTAATCGAATAATCGCACAGCCCTAGTTCAAACTGCTAATAAAATTATGATGAATATTTACATGATGGTCACGAGGGTTGCTAAGTATAAACCAAGGGGATGAGTTATTAAAGCGTAGGTTTCAGTTAGGTTTGGACACTGTGAAACGATATGGGGAATGGTTAGAGGGGCGCTGTTGCAGAATTGACATATGGGCTGCGTTTCTTGTTTTAAAATGTAAAGATGAGTGGCAGTTCTGTGGCCTAGACGAATTCTTGTATATATTCTGTTTTGTTTCGTTGTGGTTGTTGTTGGAAGCCTTAGAGGAGTTCCACTGGGGTTTATCTGTTTGTAATTGTGGTTGTAGTTGGCCCAGTCGACAGAAATTAAATGATTGAGTCTATTGTGAGCGTTTCTGGTAATCATTGCTTTTGAAGATGTAGCGAAGCTAAAGAGTGGAAACAGGTGTAGAGATTTTGCGGCTCTGTCTGCGTTTTCGTTACCTCTGATATTAGCATGGCAAGGAACCAACATGAATTTTGTCGCCAAGGATTTAGCTATGAGGTCATATTTTATGTCTAATATAGTTTCGTGCCCATTGGCCATGTTTTGGACTTCAAACACTGATTTACTATCAGTGCAGATAATGTATTTTTCGTTGAAGTTGTGACAGAATTTCAAAGTGAATAAAATCGCTTCTGCTTCTGCGTGAAAAATTGATTCTAGCCAAATCAGCAAACCGTGGGATACTATGTTGTTTTCATCATCAACTTCGGCGAGCGAGACGTAATCCTTGGATTTATATGCGTCCATGTATAGAAACTTCCAATTTTCGTTCCTGAAAGACTGTGCCACTGCAAGGAAGTGTTGCACATATGCTTCTGAAGTCGTTTCTTTTTTCTTTCGCTTAGTCAGATCTTTTACAAATTTTCCATTTTTTGTCCACATTATAGATAGGTTCTTACAAATTAAATGGCCTATGTTCCTGGCTGAAAAGCTACTTCAGAAGGAGATATTAGTCTTTACGTTTTTATTAGCCACAATAGTTTTTTCGAGATTATTTTCTCTATTGTGGCAACGTTCGTACTGTGCGGTCGCTTAAACATTCGTTTGAAAGAATTTCTAAAGTTATTTTGTTTATGTAAGTGCTAAGGCACTCCGCACATTACGCGCCTAATCATAGTAGAGTAATCGTTTTGTCATGTCAAAACGAATGCATTACGACTCGACTTCTGCACACTTGGGCGCCCTGCGTAAGCCCTGCTGGCGCACACATTACACATTTTCTGGCCGGTCTTTCTCACTAATACACTTCCGCGAACATTTCTGCAATAAAATATTGCATAAACGTTTATGGCTTAATACAGTTGGCACGAGTTTTAGCACAAAATCATTAATTTTCAATTATTTCCTACTGAAATGACAAATAATTTTTATTTCGGGCTCAAAAAAGTAAACAAATGCCGATATCAAAACGGCAAGCGCCTTACAATGTTGGGCGCTTCGATTCATGAAGTTTTTTTGATTAGGCGAAAACATGATTATGAATCGTAATATACAGAGCTTCATTGAAATACATGTGTTCGGTATAAAAGCTTCATACTTTAGTACGCCGGAACGATTACACTACTATGACTAGCCGTTTAATGTGCGGAGTGCCTAAGTCTGTTCAGCCTTTTCCAAGTTGGATAGGGAAGCAAGCGAATGAGTCTGGTGGTAAACGAGGACAAGACGAAGTATCTCCTGTCATCAAACAAACAGTCAGCACATTCGCGCCTTGGCACCCACGTCACTGTTGACAGTTACAATTTCGAGAAAGTAGAGAATTTCGTTTACTTGGGAACCAGCATTAACACCGATAATAATGTCAGCATTGAAATCCAACGTAGAATCACTCTTGCCAACAAGTGCTACTTTGGACTGAGTAGGCAATTCAGGAGTAAAGTCCTCTCTCGACGTACGAAAACCACGCTCTATAAGTCACTCATCATGCCCGTGCTGGTATATGGCGCAGAAGCATGGACAATGACAACATCCGATGAGGCGGCTCTTGGAGTGTTTGAGAGAAAGATTTTGCGGAAGATTTACGGGCCTTTACGCGTATACAACTCGGAACCCTCTGGTGGTAGCAGAGGAAGAGGGAGGCCCCCTGCGATGGAAAGATCAGGTGGAGAAGGACTTGACTTCACTTGGCGTTTCCAATTGGCGTCAGTTGGTACAGAGAAGAAACGACTGGCGTGCTTTGCTGAACTCGGCCGAAATCGGTTGGGCGGTTACAGCGCCAAAAAAGAAGAAGAAAAAGCGCTAAGCAGTTCTAATTTGCGTAATTTATAATGGAAAAAGCTCTTTGAAGCCAAGCTCCAAGAAATTGTTGTGTTTTAGACATAAAGTGCGTGGATTAAAAATTAACATTCTTGTCATTCCTTGTGCATATTTGCCTTTTTTAGTGCATAATTGTTGTTTTGCGTGAGAGTGCATTTTCCCATATTCCGCGCTTTATCGTACATTTTGCTTATCATCGATGAAATAATTTTCCTGCAAACAGCTTGCTTTTATGCTTTCAAACTGTTTGGCTCAGTGGCTTTAAAACTGTTAAGTTCAGCACGGTTTCTAACCATTGAACTCAACTAACTAATTACATAAGCTTTTCAAGTTCCACTTACTGCGTGTCTTGAAAGATTTTCTTACAATACCTAGACTTCTGTATCTCTCAAACGCTCATATTTGCTACAATCGTACGAAAAGCGTACAATGTGAGTTTTTCTACATAAAAATTGTTACTACTTCGCGCTGCAATGTATTCATCCTACTGTTTTGAAAAATGCAACATTAAAAACGACTTAGAGCGTTTCGTTGCGTGTTGGTTGTGTGATGACTTAGCTCACATAAAATGTGCTGGTCTCCATGGTAGGGTGGCCGATATCATAACCGATATTCATTGGTCTTGCCCTAAGTGCAGATCAACCGAAGTTGACCTTTGTAAAATATTTACGAGCGCCAGGAGTGGCTTCCAGGAGTTGGGTAAGGAGCTAAAACTTCTAAACGAAAAGTTTACGCGATGTGGAGATGCATTTAAAGACTTTAAGTGCATTGAATCTTCATTCTATCCATCACCAAAGCTTAAACAAGCTTCAAAAAAAGCGGAAGAATGGAGGAGACATCATTGTTCCTAATCCCATTGCTTTAGACATTGACACTCTGCCAATTGATTCATTGCCTACTATAAGGAATTAATAAGTTTTAATTCTCCGTGTGTTGAGTTATCTCAAGCTGCAAAAACGAAAGCTGCGTCTGAACTTACATCTCAAAGTGGACCATCTCCGGTGCTCACATAATTGATCTTAGTTCCCGCGAATAAATCTGTGTTTGTTTCGCGCTTTTCTAGTGAAACTTCGGTAGAAGATGTTAAGTCTTATATAACATCAACACATAGCTATTAGAAAATTTAATTTTTCATACGAAAGAAGCATATCTTCATTTAAAATTGATATTTCCGCCGACCATTTTCAAAACATTGTTGATTTTTCATTCTGGCCAAATGGTGCTTTAGTTCGAGAGTTTGAGTTTAAACCTCGAGCTCGGAATGAAAATACTGCTCAAATTCCCTCCTCATGATCAAAAAACTTAAAAGTTATTATTTCTTCAATATTTATTACCAAAATGTTAGAGGTCTAAATACAAAGTTAACCGAGCTGTAATTAAAGTTTTTGATTTAAATTATGAAATATTGGTTTTTACTAAAACTTGGCTAAAACCGAATGTGTTTAATACTGAAATATTGTGTAATAAGTATTGAATATTTAGAAATGATCGCTTGGATAGAAAAGGCGGGGGTGTTTTAATAGCTGTTCAGACTGACTTTTCCTCTGAAAAAGTTGAGTTCACTGGTTCGGATGATGTATTCCTCTGCGTTAGAATACGGTGCCCCTCAAGTAGTGTTTTTCTTGTTGCAATTTATATTCCACCAAACTCTAACCCTTCGGTTTGCTTTAAACATTCTTCATTATTGCTCTCTTTATTTGCCATGGCCTAGCCCTCGGATTCGATTGTTGTGTTGGGTGATTTCAATCTAGCGTGTGTTTCCTGGTATTCGGTGGATGGAATTCTGATGCCAAATTCATCTCGGGATGTGCTCAACCAATTTCTTAACGAACTTTCCGATCTTGGTCTATATCAGATTAATTCAGTTATCAACAACTTAGGTAAATGTCTTGATTTAGCGTTTATTGATGATACTGATAAAAGCACTATAATACGCGGCGATCCTTTAGTTATACCTACAGACCCTTATCACCCACTACTTGAGTTGTCTTTGGCGCCCTCCTACGATTCGTGTTATTGTCCTGAAACTAGAATGCTGAAAGCTCGGCGATATTCTTTCAAATACGCTAACTACGACAAGCCTAATATAGCTATATCTGAAATAATCTGGCCTGAGTACGATAGGGATGTAGAGAACAGTGCCTTACTTCAGTAAACTCATTCCTCTAGTTAAAGAAAATACCGGACCTCGCAACTCGTTGTGGCTTAACTCGGAGCTAAAGCATTTAAAAAATCAAAAAACTAAATAATTTAAGCTTTATAAAAAATCAGGCCTGTCTTCTCACTACGTCGCGTATTCCATCCTTCGTCACAAATACAATGCGTTAAACAGAAAATGTTACAGGAATTACATTAATAAAATTCGCATTAACATCGTTTCTAATCCCAAGTCATTTTATCATTCTTCTAACTCAAAACGTAAAATAAATGTGTTTCCCCCAACACTGAAATTTGATGATTTTATTTCTAGTGATGATAATATGATTGCTGATATGTTTGCTAATTACTTCGAATCGAACTATTCTGTCGAGCCAAATGAAAAAACTTCTAGCTATCCTTTTCCACTCCCACAGTTTGACCACATCCGTATTCCTTCAATCTCTGCTGACAATGTTCTCCTTCATTTGAGGAGTATAAAAAATTCTTTTCTACTTAAGTNAATACCGGACCTCGCAACTCGTTGTGGCTTAACTCGGAGCTAAAGCATTTAAAAAATCAAAAAACTAAATAATTTAAGCTTTATAAAAAATCAGGCCTGTCTTCTCACTACGTCGCGTACTCCATCCTTCGTCACAAATACAATGCGTTAAACAGAAAATGTTACAGGAATTACATTAATAAAATTCGCATTAACATCGTTTCTAATCCCAAGTCATTTTATCATTCTTCTAACTCAAAACGTAAAATAAATGTGTTTCCCCCAACACTGAAATTTGATGATTTTATTTCTAGTGATGATAATATGATTGCTGATATGTTTGCTAATTACTTCGAATCGAACTATTCTGTCGAGCCAAATGAAAAAACTTCTAGCTATCCTTTTCCACTCCCACAGTTTGACCACATCCGTATTCCTTCAATCTCTGCTGACAATGTTCTCCTTCATTTGAGGAGTTTAAAAAATTCTTTTCTACTTAAGTGGTCCGGATGGTATTCCCTCCTGTGTCCTAATAAGTTGTGCTGATTATCTTTATGAGCCATTAAAAAACATCTTCAACGCTTCTCTAAAGCAGGGAGTTTTCCACTCTTTGTTGAAGGAGTCGTATATCGCTTTGTAAAAATGGAAGCAGGTCGAATATTGCGAATTATAGGGGAATCCCTAAGCTGTGTGCCATTCCTAAGGTATTTGAAGAAATCGTTACGGAAGAACTATCTTATTCCATAACGCCTGTTATCGATGTATCACAATACGGCTATTGTAAAGGTAAATCAACTGTATCAAACCTTCCTGAATTCACTTCAAATGTGAACAATGGTTTCAAAAGTAACTATCAAACTGACGTCATTTACACTGATTTTAGCAAGGCATTTGATAAAGTATCTGATTCAACTCTAATATACAAACTTGATAAAATTGGTGTCCCTCCAATCCTGCTGCGCTGGCTTTCTTCTTATTTCATTGGCAGGAAAAAAATTTCATCTCGGGTAATTCATGTGACGTCAGGTGTACCTCAAGGTAGCCAGCTTGGCCCCCTTCAGTTTCTTTTATTCATTAACGATCTTCCAAATATTTTGAAGTGACGTTAAGTTATTTAAGTTCATTGGTGCTCCGGGAGACAGGGTACAATTACAGGCGGACCTTAGTAACATGTTTAAATGGTGCGAAGTAAATTCTATGTCACTCAACTTGAAAAAGTGTAAATTTATGTGTTTCTCTAGAAGACCCTTTCAATCATATAGCTACCGCATTTGTGAACATAGTGTTGATCAGCTAACTAATTTCATCGATCTAGGCGTAACCATGGACCCTAAGTTTGAATTCAAGTCCCATGTAAACTCTTGTGTTAATAGAGCCAAGGGCATCTTGTCTTTCATCAAACGTTGGGCTAAAGAATTCAGAGATCCTTATGTCGCTAAAGCTCTCTTCACCTCCCTATGGAACCCTAGATATCAAACGAATTCTGACAGACTCGAGTCGGTACAGAAACAATTCTTATTATTCGCATTAAACAATTTGCCTTATGATTCGACATTAAATCTCCCGCCATACAAAGGCCGCTTAAAACCATAAATTTGCCAACGCTTCACAGCCGTAGAGAGATGCTCGGGGCTTTGTTCATGATTAAGTTCTTAAACGGGATGG